ACTGTATATATTTTGAACTATAATTCACATTTGTGGGCATGGAAATGCAGTTGCAAATTTTCTTCTTGCCTCAGGAAAAAAAAATGGAGGAGATTTTCGTAGATTTGGGGCATTTACTCTGAATTGATGTTCCTTATGAATCAGCCTCTTCCTATATCCATCCATAAGTAGAGTCATCCAAGCAGACTATAAACAATTTTATTGAAGCAGGAAACTTCTGGATCCTGAAATATAACATTATATAAATTCCATTATAATTTCCTTCGCATATGTCTGTTTCAATAGGCCAACAGGGCATCACTGGTAAAATAATGTGTTAGTGCTTAAAGGATTTAATAGCTTTTTAAACATCATCAAATTCTCTCTCAATTTCTGAGCTATGAACTAATAATATCTGAATCCAAAAAGGCACGAAGATCTAATACATATGTGTCCAGTGACAGTGCCAAAACACTTTAAGATCAATGATGAGATACTCCTCACCTCGCAGTTTTGAGCATGGTCTTAATATGAACTGGATTAAAATGAGGCTTAAATCTGTAAAGTCTGTGATTATTATAAAGCACTTAACTTTTTTCTCAACAGCTTGACATCTGATTCCTTAAAAGGGAAAATGCAATTTGCTTCAGTACATGGTGCATGTAAGGAAATAGAAATGCAAGTGATTTGCATTTTCTTAAAATAGTTAATAAATGTTTTGAGTGGTAATATTTTCTAGAATTGCCATTTCTCTCCCTTGCATGATAGTTCATATTCAGCAGTTCTGTAAACTGGAGGTATTTTATTAGACAGTTTCCTACCTATTGGTCTTATAACTGTGGGGTTTGCTGAAGGGGGAGGAGTAATGGGGAGAAACTTGTCAGGGATGGGAGAATTATTTTATCTCTAAGTTGTTATTTTTGTATAACACAAATTCAATAGACTTCTCACATTTGAATATTGCAGAGAAGGAAGACATTTTTCTCTACCCTCCTAAATTATTGTGTAATAATTCAATCTACCTGGGATGTATCAACAAGAGAAAATAACCAAATTGAATGCCCATACATGTGAGGTTCAGAGACAGAATGGGAAAAGGAGGTGCATGTGACGTTCTGAGCTGGGGGTGAGGTAGAAGCCCAAAGGGTCTTAGGAAGAGGGTCAGGAATTAGTCGTCTTCCCTGCCATAAAGATAGGTCAAAAAGGTTACCTCTGATAATCTCTTCTTATGGACAAAACTCCTAATTTCAATTTTTCTAGGCAGTTAAGTGGGAGCAAAAGTTTCTCTTGAGTCTGTAGGATATTGGTTGCCTTTAGATCAAAATTGAAAATATCCTTCCTTTTTCTGTTCCACACGGACTATCCTGTCCTATCCTTTCTTATCCTTCCCATTCCTATCCTGTTCTTGTTACAAATGGAAATGTTTACTTAATGTTATACAGACTTCAAGTAGTGACTTAACATCTTCATTAAAATATCAAAGTCCTTTTGGATGCCCACAGATGCCCACAGCACTTCCTTCTCCCCCTGCCCTAATTTGGGGTACGGTAACTCGGGAAAAGAAGCAAACATCCGTGTTTCAGAATCCTGGCACCATCAGCTGTGTCACCATCCAGGCAGGATCTCCAATGAATCCAAAGCCATGTGGCACCTTCTCATGGCCTACTGGCACGAGTTCTTTCACCCTTCTTCCGGGCAAAGTGTCTCTTGCTCTCCAAGCCATGCGGCCAAAGGGAGCACCCCAAAGCCTCATGGTCCTCTTCTACCAGAGCTGCAGGGGTCCCCACTCTGGCCAAAACCTCATGGTTCTTCTCTCCACCAAAGCTACGGGGATCACCATTCTGGCAAAGCCACGTGGTTCCCCCCTCAATGGCCGCCATGTCTGGGTTTAAATCCCCGCACCAATCTTCCTCTGCAGCCCCAATTCTGACTCCTCCTACAATCAGTTACACCTTCCGGCATTCCTGTATTATTCCAAGTTCACTGGGCTGCCATCGTGAGTCCGGGACTGGGTGGCCCTATGTCATGGAGCCAGTCTTCTCCAAGCTCCCACGCAGGCACTGTAACTCGGGGACCTGCCCCGCAGTTAGATCTTGGTGGGGAAGTTACTTCCATCCCCCTGGCTCACAGCATGGCCACAGCTATTTAACATATCTATGCAACCAGTTAAAGGTTATAGATATGTTAAATGACCATGCCACAGGTTAGCTGCAAAGCTGTGTCTGTACAAAACAGCCCTGCATGTTGCTGCTCCATGTGTCCCTTCCCCCAACTCACACCTGTGGGGGGGAAGGGGTGAGGACATCCTATATGTCTTTCTAATATTTCCTGCATGCCTTGAGTTCTGGACCCCATTCCAAACCCCTATTTGGGGCTCCCCTCTTGGGTGCACCCTATTTCATTCTATCCTATCTCATTCTCTTGTATTTTATTCATTGAGGTGAATCCTTTAGTCACTTCAAACTTGGGATTGTTTCCTCAAGTAAATAACAACAACTAAGTGTTGTAACATCTGTTAATTCTTGAAGAAGACAAGGAAAACCACGCAAAATCACTTGCCTTTCCTCTAAGTAACTGTACTTGCTGAAAGGCTAATAGTCTTAAGTTTATTTTCTGTAGACATGGTTTAAAAATTTTTATTTTATCCTCACCTGAGGATATGCTTATTGATTTTATGGAGAGGTGAAGGGAGGGAGAAAGAGAGGGAGAGAAAGATCGCTGTGAGAGAGAAACATCAATTAGTTGCCTTCTGCAGGCGCCCGGGCCTGGGACCAAACCCACAACCCAGGCTCGTGCCCTGAACGGGAATCAAACAGGGAACCTGTGGGCCACACCGGCCAGAGCTAGACTGTAAGCAAACATAATGTAATTAACTCACCATCAGGACGTGGTTTTCTTTGAATAACTAACAAATGAGCCTTTCAGAGACCCACTTGGGTCACGGCCTTCTTTTCTTCCCTTCTCCGTTCTTTTCTTTGTCAAGAAATTCTGCTGTGATGAGGTGGTGAAAATTTTAATTTTCTAATTCTCCAGACTATTGCCCTCTTGTCACTTGGAATATTGTGATGAGTGTTACGTCTGGTGATATAAGTGTGTATTGTATTCTTTTTGTCTCAGATAGTGCCGTTGCATAATAAACAGAACTTGACATTTAATTTGATAAAAGATAAATTTTGTTCAAGTGGAACTTAAAAATGTGATTTTTCCCAATCTGATCATCTCTTCTTTTCTTGATTTGACATAAAGGGCATGCACTAGTAATAAAAATAAATAAAATACATTGTGATGGCACTTGATGCTCTGAATAATTTTCCCTCTAATCTTCTAGGTCTCTTGGCTGAGGCCCCTGTAATAAAAGACAGATTAAAAGGAGAAAAACAGTAGTTGAATATCAAGTATACTTCCTGTATCCATGAGAAAATCCAGAAAAAATGAGTAGGGGTGGACGTAGCTCCTCCCTCAGCACAGTCAGCAGGGCAGAATCTCTGCTGGATCATGGCTGCTTCCTCCTCCTCCTCCTCTCTCCTCCTGGCTGCCTCCTGCTACAGCCCACAAGCTCACTGCAGACCTCAGGGCCAAATACCCCTTCTCTTTCAGCCCACCCTTACTTGAAATGCTGACCCAGAACTTCCTACATGTCCTCATATCCGGTCCCTCCTTCAATGGGCTACTTTAGCCAGTTGCCTCCATCTTTACTTCATGTGGCTGCCATCTTTAGTCAGGGCAAGAGTGACTCAGTGATGCAGGGGTGTCCTGAAACTTATGTACACCTTTTCCCTGAGGAGGTAGTACAACTATTATCTTGCCTTTTGTTATGCAAAGTATCTTAAATGCTACATCATCTCCTTCCTCCATCCCCCAACCATGGGTTGTCAGGACTTTGGGGACCCCTCATTCTGTACCCTGTTACAACATCTTAAATATCATCTCTAGGTAAAAACAGAAGACGTGGGGGGTGGGGGCACCCAGTTATGGGAGGCTGTATGGAAAAGCACATTAAACAGAGATATGATTGTTACACAGATTTAGGTCTGCTGCCTTCCTGATTGGTAAGAGTGTCTAGAGATTTAACCCGCCTTACAAAAGGAAATGTTCTTTTAAGTATGTAAATGCGCCTTACAAAAGGGTAACTTCTACTTGGTTTCATGGCTTTTTCTGTGTTTGCTCTTTCTTCAAAATAATCAGCTTCAAATCATCTTTGTATTAAACAGACAAATTTTGCCATGGTGACTTTGAGTCCTCTTCAAAAACCTCCTCAGAGACATGGCCCCTCTGCCCACTTATAGCAAGACAACTTCCAACAGTCACAGAGTTGGGTTTACTTAGCTTCTTTGAAAAATATCTTCTTTTCACAGATCAAATGATAATATTTACCAAATGCTGTATCCCTTATATGAAAATTACATGTGTAGAAAATGATGTAGTATATATTCAGTATTTTAAACACAGAGAACATATTTTATGTCCTGAGGAATGTTAAATGGACACAGACTTAATCTTTTCAAGATGTTGATAATTATTCTGGGCTGGTGGGTTTGGATCTGTGTATTAGTTCATAAATTTATTGGCATTTATAACATCTATTCAATATTTTTGTATTAGAGCACATTTGTAATGCAGAGTAGATTTTAATTTCAGACAGTGGTGAATTCCCAAATACAAGCTATTCAAGCAATTGAATTATAAAAGCATTGGATTGAAAGCTTCTCCAACTTACATTTCAACCATGTAAATATTTTAAATTGCCCTTTCCAATTCCATTGTTATGTCTCATGGAACTCTAAAATGTAACACTGGAATGCAAACTTGATGGGAAAATGAATTCCCTTTTTCGTTTTTATTCCCCGTACCTAGAGCCGTGGCTGTCACATTGGAAACTCTGAATAAGTATGGTGTCTAGAAAAAGATATTTACCCGGGCAGTATGCTATTAACCTGTATTTGATGCATGTTCGCAATGCAGTCTGTTTTTCACTCTTAACAAACCACTTAACAACACTTGTATTTTTATCCCTCCCAAAGCCCACGAAGGACGTTGTCAGAGCCCGCACGCCCATGAGGGAGACCACCACCACCGTGGAGATCTTGGTGCATCCAGAGCCACAGGTACGAAGGGAAACCCATGATGCTTCCTCTCTATCCCCTTTCATTGATTTTTATGAATGAACAAGAAATACTCTCACGTTGTGTTTCTCAATGCGTGTTTATTGTTGTGGAAAATCCACCCACACTCGGGGAGGTAATGAAGCACAAACTTTATTACGCATGTGGGGCTCAAGGGGGGGTTAATTCCCAAATCCTGAGCCGAAAAGGCTGGGTTAGGGGTCCGTTTTATATACCAGTTACACAGGCAGAAAGGGAGGGGGACCAGCTGCTGAAAGCAAGCATTCAGAAGCAGAGGCAAGGTTAGTGACCTTCAGATAACGTTACATAGCAACGTTTTGCTCCCCGGCTCCTCACCTAAAAATAACTTTTGCTCAGCTTTTGTCCTGACAAAACTTGCAAGTGTTACAGAGAGCAGTTTCTTTTCCTGCCACACCATGACTTGTGATTAGGTGGTCTTGTGCTGGACTCTAAAGGATATGCTTATTTCTTCCTAGTGCTTGCATGATAATAATGCACTTAGTTTATTTGTTCAGTTAGGTATAAGCATTCCTCAAAAAATATATTCGAAACGATCGTCTATTCCACTAATGTTTCAGTTTACTTCCCAGATCCTGTATTGAGAAAAGTTGACAACTCCTATGTTACAGTATCACTTAAGTTTTAGTGTTATTGAAGAGAAAACCCGCCCAAATTGGTGCCACTCATGTGAAAAGCCCGTGACACCTCCCCAAAATGATGACCGTTTCACGCACTCCCAGGAACTATCTTGATCAACCAATCTGGAACTTTCCGGTCAGATATCAGGAAAATAAACAGTCACCTGGCCCGTCTCCATCCCCCAAAGAAGAGGATCCCTTCCTCCTTCCCCCCAATAAATAAAACGCCCCTGACCAACAGTAATTCTTTCTTTTCAGTTATTAATAGTGCCTTTGCTTCGCCCTTCTTCCTAGAAAAACCTTCCATTTTGTAGAACCCCTTAGAGAGCCCTTTGTTAGCAATGGAAAGAGATTATGTCGTGCACCACCCGGGAGCGCTGGGACCTAACGTTCCAAAGCCCAGACTCCAGAATGATTGGCGGACGAGGGGCTCTGGGTTCGACAGAGCATAGCCAGCCGTGACTCATTACGAGGAAGGGGTTTAGGGTTGTGGATTTTGCGCGTGAGTGAAGAGGGAGGCCACACCAGTAACCCGTGTGACCCTCAGTCAAGGCATTGCTTTGTCTCTCGCTGCCTCGGCACCTTAACGATTGATAACGAAAAGGGCCAAGAAGTACCTGCTATGCTGGGAAGGCCCTGAAAAATCAGAACCACACATTAAATCAGGATGCTGGCTTTCACCTTCTTCCTGCACGTGGGATGCTGCTCAATTCATGAATCCCTTAATAAAGTCAATTAGATTTTCACATTTACTCCATTAATTTTTGTTTTTTAACAGCATAATAGAAGGCAATTTGTTTTATGCTAATTAGATGACTTTTATTAAAGTCTCATTAAAACAAATCAATTCAGGGGAAAACGAGTTTGAAATTAAAATAAGGTATTTTGCAGAATCCACTTTTACTTAATTTCAGTCTGGGTGGCTCAAAATGTGACTAATGAACACAATCAAATTTGTTTTCTTAGTCAAGGCCTTAAGCGAACTTTAAAAATAGAATGTGGAAACCCCCATGGCTATTTGCTATTCTGTGGCTGAGTAAGGTTATGTTGTGATACAGCAAAGGTCCTAAATCTGTTTGGGTATTAATTAAGATCCATAAACTGTTATTTTATCTTCATTTTAGAAGTTGTAGACACAGAAATACATATCTACAGTATTAGAAAAACAACCCAAATAGAATGAAAGGAAAATCACATCTCTTTCTTATTTACTCTTTTGTGTGTGCTCCTGAAATTCAAAAAACTCACATGTTCAGCAATGATAATGTTCTACAGTGTTTTTTTATAAATTTATAGGAGTATTCATTTATACTTTTAGTGAAGACTTACAAAGTGAAACAGTTTTATACAATGGGAGGAACTGATTAATTTTTAAAAGATACATGGAAACCTATGAATTGTCCAAATTGTTTCAAGTTTTAAATTCTTCAAGTCTGACTTAGTGAAATTTTGCCCAATTTCAAACTGGCTTTCAAGTCAAGCCAAGGGTACAAGATGTGGTTACAATCTACATCTGTAACTTTGATTAAGAAACTGTTGCAGTTTTCACAATGCAGGTTTGAGGGAAAGCACACAATTTTAAAGTTTGTATTTGTAAAGTCTACAACTTGGAACTGCCAGTGTGGTATGCTCTGTAAATAGGGTAATTAAAAGTCATGAGACATTGCTGTATAGCACCGTTTCTTCTGCGAATGGGAAGACGCTGTATCAATAGTAGTCGTTACCTCGCCGGTTACTTCTGGTTGCATTCTACTAGATGACGTACGGTGGAATTACCTGTACTAAGTTCTTGCCCATTACTGAGTCTTTTATTGGTTTATGAACTTAAAATCTTGTGACGTATACAATATCCTTCCAGAGTTGGTGCATTTTGCTTGAGGTGCTTTTATTAGTGAAGTCTTTTAATTCTCTGACAGCCTGAGACTTCGGTTCATGATCTCTGATGCGTGTTAGATTTCAGTGGAAGTCGCAGGCAGTAAGGGAGGGGCAATTTCCCCCTCTTCTACTTCAGTTCTTCTGACTTGCCTAATAATCACATTGACGCGAGTCAAAGAACAGTGGAACACCATTCCTATTATGTACGTATGTACAGGGATCACAGAAGAATATGGACTTTGCCCCTAAGGAGGGCACAGGGTAGTGCTTTGCTCTTCAAAAGGAAGGTAAGCAGTTCAGAGGTAAACGAGAAGGAACACACATTTCACAAACACATTCTTGCCAGGCCACCCAGAAAACACAGGCGCAGAGGGGACTCTAGCAGGCCAACCCGCTAGGTTTATGAGTTTCAATAGCCAGTGCTTTGTTTGCGAAAAATATTCTACTAAGATGCCATTCTGATGATGCATATGGACATTAACTGCACTTCACAAAGTACAGGTACATTGTAATGACGCCTTATATTCACTGGGAAATAACTAGCGCGGTGTAATAGTATCCGCACCTGCTGCAGACTGTGTGAGGGTGGTGAACACTATTGCTTACCAGTAATTCCCCAGATCTTAACAACATCCACCGAGGATGTAAGTGACCTCTGGCAAAGGAGGAAAACACAATGGTGTGAACACAAGGAAAATAAGGAAAGCAGAACACGTTTTCACTTTGAAGAGATAATGGAAGTTCTGTGTGGCGATGAAATGTTTTTTATTTAACCAAACTAGCGTAAACGTACTATGTACCAGGTACTCTCCTCAATGATGAAAATATTAGCTCGTTTAACTCTCAGTACAAACCTGTGATGATTATACCTATTATTATTCCTTGGGCCTAGTTTCAAAGCTTCTTTTCTTAAAACTGTGTAACAGCCCTGGCTGATTGTGACTCAGTGGATTGAGCACTGGCCTGCGAACCAAAGGGTCGCTGGTTCGATTCCCAGTCAGGGCACATGCCTGGGTTGTGGGCCAGGTCCCCAGTGGGGGGCGCGTGAGGGGCAACCACACATTGCTGTCTCTCCCTTGCTTTCTCCCTTCCTTCCTCTCTCTCTAAAAGTACATAAATAAAATCCTTTTTTTTAAAAAAATTGCATGTTTAAAAAAACTATGATAATTTCTCAACCAGAATTAACAGCACAAATGTAAGGTGGTCCCTGGGACAAGAAATATCTTTAAAGGATTTTTTTCCGTAAACTAGAAAATTATGCTAATAATTTAATATATGTGAGTTACATACTCACCTATATTTGCATGTGATAAATGAAGGTGACCCCTTTATGAGGCTCACATGAAAATGAAAGAACAATAAGCTATGGAGGCCATAAAGAACATAAGGTATTGAAACAAGGAAGAAAATGCACTTTTCAGAGGTATTAAACCCACTATGATAATCCCTAATGGAAATATTTCTGCGGGATGAGAAAGGCTAATTGCCAGTGATGGAACTCAAGCACTCCCACAGTTTTAAAGAATCATCTTGTAATCTTGGAACGGTGGCTAATAGGACCACTCATTTAATATGTTAGCAGTAAACTCGCGAGATGAAGAATCGCTGACCTGATCTTGTATTTGACAATAGCCAGGTTCAGACATCCACGGCGGGTTGGCTAATCGGTCTGCATAAAGTCAAATCAGCTCCTATAATTCTTTCGTCTTCTCGATGACCTACGTTCCTGACAGGGGAAGTCACTCAAGTTTGAGCGCTTCGCTCTGATGTAGTTTTCAATAAAAGGAAGTCCAAAGAAAGCTTGGATGCTCAAGTTAAGGGTCAATACCAGTGTCTTGGCTTCCCATACCAGGAAAAGAAAAAAAAGGTAATTTAAGGGAACTACGAATTCATACTACTGAATCATCACATGTTAGACAACACGTAGGCAGAATTTTGTTGAATGCTCGGTGGGCCACTTGCTGTGTTTCTTCTCTAGCAACAAAATTGTCTTAAAAACCATTGCCCGGGGCCATGAAACCACACAACGGTTGGCCGGGTGAACAAGCTGTTAACTTCCTTTCATTGTCAGCCGTAGTTTTACATCAGATGCTACTTTTGATCATGTGTTTGATATCTACACTTATTGAAATTTTTGACACACTTCATAATTCATGTTTTCATGGAAGCCCAAAGCACTTATCTATCTTTTGGCTGGAAATGCAGCAAGTGTTTTTGGTATTGTTGTTACGATTTCTCTGTGTGTGTTCTATAGGGATGCCAGGTAACTGTTACTACGGAAGGCTCTGAGATCACGAGCTTTTCAAACCTTAATCAGAGAACTTTTGAGGGTTCTTTGCATCTTAAGGGTTATGTTGTGGAAGGTTTAAAATGTCAAGCTGAGTTTAGATACAGCTCTTTGCACAATAGGAAGCTATATTAAAAAAATCGACGCGTCCTCAGGTGACATTGTATATAAGTGTAAGGTTT